TTGGCCCCATGAAGACCTGCTGTAGAGGCTGTGGTAATTCTGATGGATGATCTTCCATCCCACCCAGTGACCAACATTTGTTGGATGCAGTTCTGTTCATCAGAAAGGAGATCACAGAATCACTCCGTGACAGGAAATCTTGAGAATGGCAAATTGTCCATGGCTGTCAGACATATAGGAAGAGCAGATAGGTGTTACCAACCCACAATCGTATATGAAGACACACTGTGTGCAAGCACGTTTCTGGGTATTAACCAAGATTCTGTAAGCAGAGCCAGTGGAACCACTGCCCTTTTGAGTTTTGATGTTTGTGGGAGGCCACAGAGTAACCCTTGGCAGCAGAACAGACATTGCTCACCTCAAAGCCATTGTTCCAGTCTCCAGGCCTCCCTAGTTGTGGATACAAACCATGCACAAGGAGTTATACAAAGTTAAGCAAAGAGAACTGGGCATTGCATCACTGCCTGAGCTAGAGACTGCAAAGACGCAGGACAGACACTGATTGATCCCTCACATCTCAGATATTCATGGAGTGGCAGCCCTGAGCCTTTGAGTGCAAAGACAGGGCAGATTGCAGTCTCTACCTTCTCTAAGCTGACTTTCACTGGGCAAGGGCAGTGAGATACTGTGTCAGGATTCCCTGAAGAATGTAGATGCATGATAAAACTAAGCAAGGTCTCCCTCCCACTGAGACTTCTTTCAGCGACTAAGGGCTCCTTGGGCCCTCACTGCCCAATTATGGGTGGGTGAGGATGGGGCTGAACATTGTATCAACTGGGCAGGAGGTCCATGACCCCTCTCTAAACGTGAGTTGTGCAGGCATTGTGGGAGGAAAGCCCAGGTCTCTCACTCTGCTGGCTCCCTGTCTGCCCCAGTTCTTCTGTGCTTGAGGCCACATTGGAAGTATATGCCCATCTGGATCCCCAGGCTGAGCTTCTCCTGGACTAGCTGGAGTCCCAGAGACTGAGCCACAGGGTAACTATCCCTGGAGTGTAGGATGTAGGGTTGTGGGGAGGTGATGGCCTTGCAACTCAGCAAAGTACCCTGCTGGGTGACCCAGGAGTATGACACACTCAGCAGTTGGTGTGGGGATGCAGTCAGGAGGCTTTCCTTGGGCTGTGTTGTTGCACAAGGCTGCCTCTGACAGGCAGTGGGAAGGTTTTGCCCAGGAAGTCCATGGAAAGTTGGCAATCTTTTCATTTCCTGCAACTATAGGGCCAGGCTCAGCCCATGCAGAAGTTGCACCTGCAGACCTTGTGACAGCTCTACCTGCAGCTCTCTAACCAGCTCTGATCCCAGAGCAAGAGCCAGTACCTGGACTCCTTTGTCCAGCAGCTAAAGTTCTGAGCCTCCTGATGGCTGCACTCAGGAGTCATCTGTCAAGCTCTAACTGCAGGCAGCTCTTGACCCACACCTGCCATTCCCCTCTCTTCCGGATTTACTTACTATTGTTTTCACAGCTACACTTATTTACCAGAGATACATTAGTGATAGAACAAACATAGGTAAATTTTAAGATTTTAGGGTTGTTTAAAATAATCAGCTTGCTGACATTCATTGCATTCTCAATGTTGAGGAAATTTCCCCAAGTCCACTTCCAGAATATATTCTTCAAATATTTACACAATGGTGTTTTCTTTTCTTTCCCCTCTTGCCCCATCCCCGCCACCACTGATTGTATGTCCTCATATTTAACCTATATTGCATTTCCCACATCAATGCCATAAAGTTTTCTTTGGCCAGGAATGTTGGTAGTGACTATCTTGGGTTAGAGTTAGGTTTAGAGGTAGGTTAGATTTAGGGTTAGGGTTGGACTAAGCTCCCAATTATTGCATCATTATCCACTGTATTTGTCATAAAGAAAGGACAAAGCAGTGCCTTATGCTGGCAATATCTTGGCCCTGAGCTGTGTGCTGAATGCACAAAACTTTGAGAGCAGTCACTGGTGGCTGGATTGTACCACTGTGCAAAATATAGGGCCCAATATGCACTCTGTGCACCACATGTGCCCTGGCCCTAACACCAACATAATCAGTATACACTGTAAATATGTAGTAAGAAAAAATATGCAGTTATCTGTAAACAAAACACAAAGCAAGAAAATCCACTTCTGACATGTGGGGAAAAAAAAGAGCTACTAATGAAAAATCTCACACAGGAAATGCACGCTCTCCTTGGCCAGCAATGTTTCCTTTGTGCAAATGCAAATCTGTAGAACAAAGCATCAGCTGTCCTCAGTCTACGTCCTTGCTAATGGAATTTTTGTGGCTAATCCTCCTATCATAGGAACATGCACTTTTATACTTTTCTCTATCCAAAACCTAATAGAGACACATAGAAGACTCACTGTGTGCTGGATACCAGAGCTCTCCAGATGCAGATCACACTTGGGGAGACAATGAAACTTACACTGCCAATAGCTGGTGATGACTAAGTCATGGACAGAAGGTGAAAACCAAACACAGGCAGATCTTCTGCAGGAACACTCAGTCTGGCTCCCAAGTCCTGTATTTGTAACTCTCCTTAGACCCCTAATTTCTATCAAAGTGTTCAAAACTGCTGTCTCCTCTCTGGCCTCAGGATACAGGCTCAGAAGTGGGTGTAACAGTGACAGCTGGAGGTGCTCTGGCCCATCTGTACCGCTGTCTTGGAGAAAGACTCTTGTCTTCCTCCACCTTCCTCCCTTGCCTCTCTCACTACATTTCAAAGGCTGAGCTGCTGCCCAGCTGTCTGGGTGGAGATGCTCAGCAGGGCCTTCAACATAGTTTTATCAGCATAGTTTTATATGTGACATACTGTGTCACATACACACAGCTTTCCAGTAAATGGTCTTGAGATAGAAAGATGTAGTAAAAAGTGACAGCTAACTGGAATGAACCCTGCTTTATACACAAAGGCCCCATATCAATGTGGTGGGCGAGGAAATATATTAGGTTCTTGCCCCACTCCGTGGCCACTCAAAACTCAACTGCCCCATTGCTGATCACACTGATTCCTGCCCCACCCCACCACACTAGGCTAAATCCTCACCGACACCAAGACCAGAAAACTAGGTGTTTGCTTCTGGAGCCAATAGGCAGGAAAGTGGGAACATAGTGGTGCCTGGCAACTAGATGGCCAGACAGAAAAAAGAGATGACAGTGGCCATGACCATCTTACCTGAGGGTCAATCACTGATACAGAGGCATATTATGCACAGGTGAGCCTTGGGCCAACTCCTTTCCAGGTACTCTCCACTCTTGAAGGACCCAGAGACATACAAATAGCAGGGTGATGACACTGTCATGCCTTTATAACATGGTCATTTGGTTTGGGACAGAACAGAGATGGATGGTAACAGTTGGGAAGAATTTATCCCCAGACACTGTTGCACTGGGACACCCTTATTTCCCTTCCTTCCAATGTGCGGTCCAGATTTCAGGGCCCTGCTTCTATGTGTGGTGCACATAGCCTTTGTTCCCTAGCCAGATCCAATTCTGCCCATCCCACAGGAGCCATTTCAAAGTTACTGTTTCTACTTGGATTGTGCCAGACAGAAGCATCTGCATTTGTCTCCCCACATATCCAGATATTCATGCATCACATGGTAACCCACAGATTAAGTCAGCTCCTTAGATGCTCCACAGATGGGGATTTCCAGACTGACCTTGAGACCTCAATTCTGAGCACCATGTTCTGAGGAGAACTTCTAGAGCTGGGAGCTAAAATTAGGGGCTCTTCAGTCATAAGCCCTGGACCAAGTGCAACACAGGCTGGACCCAGCTTGTCCTATGTGATAACCAATCAGCCATACTTGTGGGAACAGGATTCTCTCTCAGACAGAATGGGATGGGAGGGGCACAAAACAGCCCCTAGGCCAGCCAGCTTTGTACTTTTAGGAGGAGAATGGAATATAGCAGGAGGAAGGAGGGGTGCCTGAGGAATGAGGGAATGGAAGATGGAATAACAGTAGAAAAAGGCCCTGAGTTACTCATTGAGGGACACCTGATTTTGTTACCTACCATACTTTTTTTTTTTTATTTAAGAGGAAAAAGAGAAAAACACAAAACAAAACAAAGCAGTGTAAGGTTACACATAATATAGAACTACAAAAAAAAAAAACATAACAGTAAGAAATCACCTGTTAATAGATTACATAATATCATCTTGGAAATAGTTGCTCAAATCACAGTATCAAAGAATACAAAGTAGACATTCAAACGGAGAGACTGCAAACAGCTGTGTTCAATAATCCAAAAACATTAATATAGTCAGCTATTTAACATCCCTAAACACACTTGTTGTTATATCCGTTAGAGCTCTTTTTTCCCCCTCCCTCTCTTTTTTATAACAAAATTTACACATTTTGGATTTTATTACTCCTCAGTTCTCATTACTCTCTTGGGGGGGAGAGAATAAAGTCAAATATGGCAAAACAAAGCTGTAAGTCCAAACCAATGATAGACATAGCACATGATGTAGAACAGAGTACAAGGTCATCAACAATGGTTATCAACATTGTCTCTTGTTTCCTTAAAAGGAATTCAAGTGGGATTCATCCCAGGAATGCAAGGATGGTTCAACATACGCAAATCAATAAATGTAATTCACCATATCAATAAAGCCAAAAATAAGAATCACATGATCATTTCTATAGATGCAGAAAAAGCCTTCGATAAGGTCCAACATTTATTCATGATAAAAACTCTACAGAAAATTGGAATAGATGGTCTTTACCTCAATATAATAAAGGCCATTTATGACAAACCAACAGCCAGCATCATACTAAATGGCCAAAAATTGAAAGCCTTTACTTTAAAATCAGGCACAAGACAAGGATGTCCTTTATCACCACTCCTATTTAATATAGTACTGGAAGTACTAGCCAGAACAATTAGGCAAGAAAGAGAAACAAAAGGGGTAAAGATAGGAAAAGAAGAAGTTAAGTTGTCATTGTTTGCAGATGACATGATACTCTACATACTTTTTTTTTTTTTGTTTATCGGTACCAGGTATCGAACTCAGGACCACACACTTGCAAGGCAGGCGCTTATGCCACTGAGCTAAATCCCCAGCCTCCACCCACCATACCTTTTGGGTGACAGCAGACAACAGTGACACTTGATATTGGGCAGCTACACATACACTGCCTCCTCCTGTGATTTCATTCAAAGGTCCAGGGAAGATTGGAGTGGGCAGTGGGGGCCCTGTGTAGACAAAGGCTTGTAGCGGAATGACAAAGACAGCGTGAGAGGATGTCCTGGGCATGTGGTAGTGGTACACACTCTGTGTTGCTCAACGTGGCTCCTTGACACAGCCAGGGTCCAAATGCCTCCCTGACCCAACACCCTCAGGCATGGATCTCCATAGCTCATTCAAGAGTGCCACCCTGGGGTCCACACACATCAGAGAAGGGCTGCCCAAATCTATGGGTACCATAGCACCTGCTCCTGCCCTTGTTTTGTGCTCTCCCTCATGGCACTCAACTACAACATGATGCCACATGTTAAGAACATGGCTTGAAGAGTACTTGGAGGGAGTCATGTTCAGAAGGGTTTGTGCTGGGGAAGGGATCTCCCTGCCAGCATTAGTGCTGTGCCTGATTTTAACACATCATGACACATAGGAAAAGTGACTCCCCATGGGTTCAGAGATCAAGGGAGGCTAAGATATGCTGGTAAGTAGCTTTACTGTGTGAGAATGGGGCCAACAGAAACTATTGTCCTCAGCCTCCAGCCTGGGACTGACTCACCTCAGACCATGGTCCAGGCAGTCTGTTCAAGAACTATATGTCTGCTGCTTGGGGAGCTGCGTTCCAGGTCCACGTCAGAACATTTGAGACCTTTCATGCCCTGTGGGGTACAGAAGAGGAATGGAAGTGGGGAAAATGTCCATCACAGGGATTAGGAAGTGATCACCATGGCACAGGTATATAACTTGTTGTCCTTTCTAAAGCTGTACCCCAACAGAGATTTTGGCTTTAGGATATGATGCATGGCTTGGAACAAGGCACAGAGACTTTAGTTTTGTGGGGCATTAAAGTGCCCTATGTCTGCAGCATGAAATTTTCTCAGAATTAGGGAGGTGAATTGGTATTTTAGTGGGTAAGATCCCCAGAGAGAAGAAACCACATGGAGCCAACATTAGCAACAGCAGTAAGCAACCATCTTTATTATCCAGCCTGTATATATCAGCCGTCATCAAGCATTACATTCTTGCATAGTGTCACAAGCCTGAGCACATCCATGGCTGTCTATGTTAACTTGTGCTTATATAACTATGTCCATGGTGTGCATATGCTAATTGGTTGGGTCAGATCCCATAGGTCCTCATACCTTTTGGTGTTGAAGCAGTGTGCAGTGGTTTCTCACATTCCACCACCTCAAATATCAGGGAAAATGTGTTTATTGTAAGTGACCTATAGGGTGGACTCATGCACACAAAGAGCATGACAACAATAAATGTAAAAAATAATACCACTAATCATGCCACAGTGCAGCTTATGGCCACCCAGAGCCAGGTGGATCCCAAGGATTCCCACCACTGCATGAGCAGGTCCTGTTGCAAGGCATCAAGCACACAAAACTCCATGTCCATTTCTTTTAAATTTTTTAAATTTAAAGATAGAAAATAAAATTAAAAGAAACAAAATACAAAAAAGCAAAGAAGTGTAGAATATAGAATTCAAAAAAATTAACTCCCAAAATTACTAGTTGATACATTACATATTCTTATCTTAAAAACAGTTGTTAAAGTTACAAAAACAAAACATAAAAAGTCACTAAATACTGAAACATTGATGGGCAAACCCTTCCTTTCAGTGATCTAACAGAAATTTAGTAATATGGTCATCTATCTTTCATACTATACATATCATTATATCATTTAGAGCCCGTTTCTTTACTTTTGCTTTTACAATATATACTATACTTTTTTGGATCCCAATTCTTTGTCAGTTTTTTATTATTTTTTACACTAGAGACACAATGAGAAAGGATATTCTCAAGTTACTTTCATTTACTTATAAAGGCCTCAAATCATCCTTTTCTATATCTGAGTAGTATTCCATTGTGAAAAAATACAATTTTTTCATCCACTTGTGGTTGACGGCATTTTGTTGTTTCCAAGATTTAGCTATCACAACTGTGTTGCACATATCATTGCACATATATCACTGTGAAATATTTTTTTTCAAATTTCTGGGAAAATACCCAGAAGGGGAATAGCTGGATTGAATGGAACATCCAATCTTAGTTTTTTGAGGAATTTCCACACTAATTTGCACAGTGCTTTTATCAGTCTGCATTCCCACCAACAGTGGACAAGTGTTCCTTTTTCCTTTCATGCTGCCAAAATTTGTTTCAGTTTACTTCTTGATGTCAGTCATTCTTTCCAGAGTAAGATGAAATCTTAGTGCTGTCTTAATTTGCATTTATCAAATCACCAATGATGGTGAACATTTCTTTATGCATTTATTTGCCATTTATATATCTTCATCTGAGAACTGTGTAGTTACCTCTGATGCCCATTTTTGGAAACGATCTTTGAATTTGAGGGCTTGACATTTTTCAATTTTTTATATGTTCTGCATACAAGTCCTTTGTCATCTATCCAGATTCTTTCTGACTCTGTGGGGTTTTTTTGACTTTATTTGATTTCTGTTTATGTACAAAAACTTTTTAGTAATATGAGATCCAAGTTGTTGATTCTTTGAAGTATTTTCCATGTGGTTGTGTTTTATTAATGAATTCTCTGCCTATTCCTATGTCTCCAAAATTTCTATCTACCATGTCTTCCAGTAGATTTTTGTTTCTTTTTCAATATTCAGATACTTGAACCACTTTGACTGTAGTTTAGTGTATGGTGATAGGTATGGGTCTAGTTTCAGTCTTTAGCATGTAATGTCAATTTTTCTACCATTTTTTAAAGAGGCTATCCTTTTCCAGTGAACATTTTTAGCCCCTTTGACAAATTTAAGGTGGCTCTGTGTCTTTGTAGTAGTGTTTTCATCTTCTAATCAGTTCTATTGATCCTCAGGTCTATTTCTTTGCCAGTACCATGCTGATTTTATTATTGTGGCTTTGTAGTATAGTTTCAAGTCAGGAATTGAGATAAGTCTTGTCTTTCTGTTGTTGCCCAGAAATGCTTTTGTTATTCTAGATTTCTTCTGTTAACAGATGAATTTCAGAATTATTTTCTCTAGATATGAAGTATGTTAATGATATTTTGATTTGGATTGCATTGAAATGTATAACAGTTTTGTAAGTATGGCCATTTTCACAATAGTGGCTCTTCCTAACCAAGAGCAAGAAATATCCTTCCATTTTTCAATTTCTTCTTGAATCGCCATTTTCAGAGTTGTATAATTTTCAGCATATAGGTGTTTTACAATTTTAGTTAGGTTGATTCCTAAGTATTTCATTTTTTTAGATGCTATTGTGAAAGCTGATATTTCATAACTTTTCTCTCATGGAGTGTTTTGTTTGTGTACAGGGATGTTATTGATTTGTGAGTGTTGACTTTCTATCCAGCTATGTTGCTGAATTTGTTTGTTGCCTCTAGTAGTCTTTCAATTGAGATTTTGGGGTCTTCTATGTAGAGTATCATGTTGTCGGCAAATAATGATAATTTAACTTCTTTCCCTATTTTTATTCCTTTTATTTCTCCCTCTTGTCTGATTGCTCTGGCTAATATTTCCAGAACTCTATTGGCTAGGAGTGGTAGTGGACATCATTGTCTTGATTCCTGTTTTTAGTGTGAAGGCTTTCAGTTTTTGTCTATTTAGTATAACATTGGCTGTAGGTTTGTAATAAATAGTCTTTAGACTTTGAGGTACATATCGTCTATTCTGAGTTACTGTAGGGTTTTTATCATGAACAGGTGTTGTATGTTATCAATAGCTTTTTCTGCATGCATTGCACTGATTAGGGGATTTTTATTTTTGGCTCTGTTGATGTGGTGTATCACATTCATTGATTTGTGCATATTGAACCATCCCTGCATTCCTGGAATAAATCCTACTTGGTTATGTTGTATAATCTTCTTGATGATTTGCGGCATTCTATTTGCCTATATTGTATTGAGAATCTTTGCATCATTGTTCATTAGTGAAATTAGTCTATAGTTCTGTTATTTAGTTTGATCTCTCTCTGGTTTTGGAATCAGAATGAACACTTGGTTCTAAGAATGAGTTAGGGAGGACTAATTCTCTTTCAATTTCATTGAAGAGTTTAAGGAGTTTTGCAGTCAGATCTCTGAATTTCTTATGGAATTCATCCCTGAATCCAGCAGGATATGGGCTTTTATTGTTGGTTAAGTTTTTAATCACATTTTTGATTAATGCAGCTGATATTTGGTTACTCAAAATTGTTATATATTTTGATTGGTCATTGATAGTTCATATTTCTACAAATCTATTTCCTCTGTTTTGCACCGTATGTGAGTAGAGATTTTCAAGGAAGGTGTTCATGATGTTTTGAATTTCCATGGGATCTACAGTAATTTTTCTCTTTTCAGTCCATATTTTGTGGATTTTTTTTCTTGATAAGCTTGGCTAGAGGTTTATCAATTTTATTTTCTCAAAAAAACAGCTCTTTGATTCATTAATTCTTTGTAAATATTTTGGTTTCAATTTCATTAAGTTCTGCTCTAATCTTTATAATTTCCACTCTTCTATGAACTTTGGGTTTGACTTGCTCTTCATTTTCTAGAAGCTTGAGATATAGCATTAGGTTTTTTATTTGTGTTCATTCCATTTTCTTGATGTGACTACTTATTACTATATATTTCCCACTTAGGACTGCTTTCATTGTGTCCCATAGGTTGTGGTATGTTGTTTATGCATTTTCATTGTATTATAGACATTGTTTTATTTCTTCTTTAATTTCATCTGTAATCCACTGGTTGTTCAGGATTGTTATTTAATTTCCATGTATTTATGCAGGTTTTTCCAGGATTTTTGCCATTGATTTCCAATTTTAGTGCAATATGGTCCCGTAATATGCATGAGAAAATTTCGCTCCACTTACATTTACTTAAAAAATGTTTTATGGGATAATATATGGTCTATTTTGTAGAATATCCCATGTGCAGCTGAGAAGAATGTATGTTCTGATATGGTTGGGTGAAATACTATGTAAACATCCACTAAGTCAATCCATGCACAGGTATCATTTAGTTATGTCATTTCTTTGCTGACTTTTTGTCTAAGTTGATCTATCTCTTTGTGACAGTGGGTTGTTAAGGTCTCCTATTAAAATTGTGTTCTTGTGTGTTTAGCTTTTCATGCCCATTACAATTTGTCTAGCATAGTTGGGTCCTCCTGTATTTGGTGCATATATATTTATAATTGTTAGTTGTTCCTCTTGTAGTTATACATGTAAACGTTTGTAGTGGCCTTCATATCTCTTTTAATCATTTTATGTTTGAACTTCACATTGTCTGCAAACTGAATAGCTACCCCTGCTCTTTCCTGGGTTCCTGGTTAATGAAAACTCATTTCCATGCTGTGACTTTTAATCTGAGTTTCTTTTTGAGTCAGCTGTGTTTCTTGTATAAAACATACTCTGGGATCCTATTTCTTGATGTATTTTGTCAAACTGTTTCTTTTAATAGGTGAATTGAGCCCATTTACTTTTATGGATATCACTAATATATACTGCTTTGACTTTGCTATATTGTGTTCCTGTTGTTGGTTACCTGCTTTTTCTCCATTATTTAGTTTCTTGTCCAGCCTGGTGGTTTTTTTCTGTTGTTCTGGAGATTGTGGTCATTTTTACCCATATCTTGCATGTCTTTCAGTATTCTTTCTAGGGTTGGTTTGATGGACATCAATTGATTCAGTTGTACTTTG